GGGTTTATGGAGTTTAGGGACCTTACTCTGAAAAGTTTGGGGTTTATGGAGTTTAGGGGCCCTACTCTGAAAAGTTTAGGGTTTATGGAGTTTACGGACCCTACCGTCTTAGAAAAAAAGGCCGCTGGCTTTTGGATCTCAGCTCTTCAGTGACCCTAAACCCTAAACCCTAAACCCCTAAACCCTAAACCCCTAACCCTAAACCCTAAACCCTACTTCAGACGCGTGGCCCCTCCGAAGGTGGAGGCGGAGGCATAGCACACGCTCAGGGATGCCAACTTCTGGGACGTTGCTCGCAAGGCCAGGGCCTGGGAGGTTGTTTAGGGTTTAGGGTTTAGGGGTTTAGGGTTTAGGGTTTAGGGCTTAGGGTTTAGGGGTTTAGGGTTTAGGGTTAGCAGTAATAGTAACAGTAATAGTAATGATAGCAACAATCCTCTAAAATAGAAAGCATGGATAAAAACAATCCTAAAGAAAGTGTTAGTAATAGTAATAGTATTGGTAAATGCAATAAAATTGATAACAGCAGTAGTAATGGTAATAGTAATAGTTGGAGGGCCTGGGAGCTTCGGAAATTGTAGAAGACCAAGAAGTCGTTGGCAAGTTGCGAATCGAAGCCCAGCAAGGCGATCATCTGTAGCATCACGGCCGTCTCCCAATTTGGATTCATTATGACGGGGATCAAGCACAAGAGGTGGACCACACAGATGGGAAGACATAGCCAAAAGCCCCACTTCAGCATCGATGTCCCCACCAACATGCGAACGGCGAAGCCGAGGAAGCTGCAAAGCCCCAAGCGCCAAAGTGCCCATTCCTGCTCCCGGAAGTGGAGGCCAACCCCAGACCATGGAAATCCGTTGAGGCCCCCAACGGTCATTGGCAAGAGGAAGCAGTTGATGATATACCTCAAGCTGCAAATCGATTCATGATGTTCCTTCACCTCTGCCACTTCTTCAGGAGGAGCTTCTACTGCTTGTGCTGGCGGAGCATCTGGTCCTCCTGACGCCGCGCGCACGCGCGGACCGTTCTTCGGTGCGCACATGTCGGGCCAGGAAGCAGTGGGAGGCCAAGTCAGTGGGGCCAAAGCCTACTACGAAGCCTTAAACTGGCGACGCTCATCTGAATCAAGGCGCCCATGTCCAGCACTTCACCACAGAAACACAGCTTTTGCATGGAAAACGCCACAGGCCTCCGTCAAACCCTAGGGCCAGCTTCATGGCCTCCTCGGACTTAGGTCAGGAAAGGGTCTGCAAAAGGGTCAAAACCCAACTGATCCTCAGACTCAACTGTGAATCAAAAATGGGTGTTTCCAAAACTCAAGACCTCCTAGGATGTGGTTTACACGAATATAAATATTCACAAAGGTGAACGCGAACTTCTGGAAACTCCAAACCCAGACCCCCTAAAGGATCCAAAAATTGGAACTCCTTAACAATCCCAAGGTTCCCAACTGTAGTAATGGAGCCATTTTGCGGGGGTTCCATTTTTTGGACATTTTAGGGGGCCTGGGAACTTGGTGAAGCGCCTACCGGACCAAGACGCCGTCCATCGACCTGCGCAGGCACTCAAGGGCTTGGTCTGGGTTGCTGTTAAGGAACTTAATTGAAGTTACTACATTTGAGCCACTGTCTAAACTCCTAGTATCCCCCTTAATACCCCCTATAGTAGTCCCCTATACAATCCCTTAGATAACCCCCTTTAAGGAGTTTAGACTATGGCTCATTTGGGAAACCTTATCGTTTACTATATATATACTGATTATGATATCGAGGGTTTCGGTCATGCCCCCTTATACTTGGAAACACAAACATCTGAAAATGTCTGTCACATGGGCAACAGGCCTCTACCACTTCTCTGGAACACCTCCATATGGAAGAAATTCAGCTTCTCCAACCAAACCGTGCGAACTTTCTAGTTGCTGCTGAGCGCACATCGAGCCTACGGTTTTGGCCACACATTCCGCAAAGCATGGAGCAAGATGTTTAGGCTCATCCCGGGATCTTACACCCTATAAATAAACCCTGAAGCCTCTGCGCCCTCATGCTGCAATGCCATAGCGGCAACAAAGGAGCCTGGTTAGCATGGGAGCCAAGATTGTAAAAACCAACCAACACAGTCTTGAGCCATGCCACGGTAAAGGAAAGCGCTCATTTGCAACACAGGCATGTTGTAATGGGCAGTGCTCCCACGTGAGCAGCTCTCTGCAACCAGACGAAAGAAGGCACACACTGCTGTGCTCAGAATGCGCAGTTGTCCAGCGACTGCAGCGGACGATTAGCTAAATTGCACGTGCAACGGTCTGCAGCTCCAGATTGAAAACTTCAGGAAACACAAGTTGGAACTACTGAATCTACTGAATCTTCTGCAACAGTCTTGTAGAGTTCTACTACTATGAGTTGCTTGAGGTGATGCGTTAGAATATGTGTTAAAGGACGCTTCTTTTGTACGTTTCCCAGATAACGTATTGCTTCACTTCTGCTCATGAGCGCACACTCTGCATCAAAACGAACCCGATTGGGCTTGGAACACTGCGAGGTGCTTTGGATGTAGGGTCTCGATCTGCGGTTGTGCAGGAGTTTGAACATGCTGCATGTCTGCCCAGTCTTTCAAAGAGGCCTGGTTCATGATGCCCCCAAAAAGGCCTTTATTCCAATGGTCTCCAACAATGCCTGCAATTCCAAACGGTCTGCAGCAAGGTTGATCGTCCTCATAGTTCAGACTAGCGTCCCCATGGCAGCCCGACTCTTTAAAATCTACAGCCATCTAGATTTAAACGAACTTCTCCACAACAACCCCAACATGCACTCCTGGACATGTACAATTACATTGAGATGAGTTTGTTGCGTCGCGAGAGGTGGTGGACTGCAAGAGGTCGCATGCTGGTCAGCAGGGATTTGTGAGGGGACCTAAGAAATTCAATTAACAAAAAAATCTGAGCAGGCCTTTCCTAAACAAAACCTGGACTGCGTCAAGGCAATTGAGGGTAAGCTCCCGCCTGGCTGAGATGTGCTGCGACTTGGAATCCGGAAAAAGGGTATGGTTCCTAAGGATGATGAGGCTGACGGAGCGTACCTTTTCTCTGCACTTGCAGGCCGATATTTTGCGGCTTGGCTGTCAGCCTCTATGGTTATCGTGCAACCATCAGCAAGCTCAGCAGCCCTGCAAGGATTGATGCGAACGCTGCGCCAGACATAGATTTTTCAATTTCACAGTGTGGCCCTGCAAACCTGGGAGAACAACGTTCTCGTCGTCTCCCCCTGACTCCCAATCCCAGTTGCCAGCATCAGCCGCTTTCCAAAAAGCATCCTCGTGCATCGAGAGCTCCCGTTCTTCGTACCACCCAGTGTGCGCCCGACGCCTGATGCAGCCTTCCCCTACTCCTTGTCGTCCAGGTCGCTGAAGTAAGGGTATGCCAGGACCTGAAGCGCGGAAGCCCGCTGCCGCGGATCGAATATGAGCATAGATGAAAGGACAGCTACAGCTGTCGGTGCTGCTTGGGGAAGGTAAGCCTGCAAGCTGTGACCTCGATGGATTTGCTGCAACTTGCGCAAAAACTGCTGCTGCTTCCCGCCTAGCCCCGACAAAATCTCTGGCAGCACAACCTCCGCGATCTTGTACAACTGATCGAGGGTAGTTTGTCCTTGGAAAAGGATTTTCCCTGCAATCATCTCGCCAAAGATGCAACCAGCTGACCAAATGTCGATCATTTCGCTGTAATTTGAAGGGCACAGCACAACTTCTGGGGCTCTGTACCACTTGTGCACGACATAATCAGTCAACCCAGGATTCGCTGCAGGAAATTGTGCGCCGCAGTGAGCCACGGAGCGCGCCAGTCCGAAGTCGCAGATTCTCAACATTCCGTCTCTGTTGACTAGCAAATTGTCTGGCTTCAGATCCCGGTGCATCACAGATCGCGCGTGCAGATACACGAGCCCGCCCAGCAGCTGGCGCAGCAAGTGGCGCTGGTGAGCTCCAGTGAGCCTTCCCATGACACGATTCAGAGTTGTGTCCATGAGTGGTGTCACCAAGTAAATGTCACCCTCGGCTTGGTACACGTCAACAAGCTGTAGAGTGTTGTCGTGGCGGCATTGGTGTAACAGCTCAATCTCGCGATGAATCCGTTTGCATTCCTCCATGTTGGCGAATGCAAGTCTTACCTTCTTAACTGCAAACTGCGCTCCCTGGCGTGTAAAGGATGCGACGGCACCAGAAGCACCTTGACCAACATGCGCGACAAATTGAAAATCGCCGGGCACTCGGAAAGAGAGGTTGTCGTCGATCGCAATGTGCTTGCTCAGGCGCGGAAGCAACTCCCTCGCATTAACTCTGGACTCTGCAGTCGTTGCAGATGCTATTGGTGTTGCACTAGTTGAGCGTCGGCGGCGCTCCAGGAGAGTTGGCCGATGAACGCTTTTAGGCTTCGTGACAACCATGTGGGCTTTCGGCTTCTTGCTCTTTGAAATCTTATTCGGCCGCTTGTGCTGGAAGCTGACGCTTGCCGTTTCCATGGAAAAGACACCAGAAGACCTGGCTGCAACAGTTTGCACTGACGCTATGCGCTAGAATCGCTAGGAGATACGGGGACCTATGCAAGTCAAGCCGCGAAAGCGCTTCCCGAGCAATGAATGCGACACCAGCAACCTGCGCGCGAGCTTCACTGGACTCGCATCGCAATTGGCACTTCACTCTGGCTGGCTGCTTGGATGCAAATTCTGAGCTTGGTGCTGCCGCTGCACCAACACCACCCAAGCCGAGGACGGGCAAGGCGGCCAGCAGTGTGGCTGTGATTCCTGCAGCACTGACCATGGCCCCGGCCTCTAGCTAGTCTAGCAACCTAGCATGTGCTTGGCACCCTTGGCGCGCCTGTGCTTGCCACAGCTCCGCCAGCTGATGCGGTTGTCACTCCACCGGCTACGGCTACGCCGGTGCCCAAGGCAGTTGCCCATGATGTCCCAACAGTTCCTGCGAACACACTTGGAAATCTGCCAATCACTGTCGCTGCATTGGCAGCATCTTCGCTTAGATGAGCCGTTTAGAACTTAGAACGTTTATATAAATCATCCCCTGGTCCTTGTAAAGCTGCAGCACCGAACGTGACCCCGAGCTCCATCAGGCAAGCCGGCGAGCGTTGACAGCTAAGTCCATGGTCATGCTATACAGCTGAACATAGAAATATCGTAGATGCCGTGTAGCTGGCATGAGCCACCAGATAGTAGAAGATAAGCAACGTTACTCTATTTGTGTCGCGAATCCATCACGTCTGAATACTCGCTCTGAAATGAAAACCGCCTCTTTTCTCGGAAGCTGTGTTGCTAGAGCAAGAAAAGGCGATGCCCGAATGAGAGAGTAATTCTCACGACGAAAAGGCATTTGTAGACGCGAGTGCACCATCACAGAACTCAGAAATTCCACCCCACCTTTTACCCACCAAATCCTGTTCGCAAATCCTCTTGAAAAGCTGCCCCCACCTTATACCCCCCAAATCCTGTTCGCAAAACGTCTTCGAAAGCCGCATCGCCCCCACCTTCCCCAGCAAACTTGAACTGCATCGGGAACCTGCCTTTACTTCCATGCCGTGTCCACGAAGTGCAATACATGTTGGAAACAAGAAGTCAAGACCTCTGTAGCGCGGTTGCATGAACACGGATGGTGCGGGCAGGTACCTTTGCATGACAGCTGTCGTTTTTTGCCCGATGGCTTCCCTAGTCGGCATGCCAGTCATGCCAGCGCACCATCAGTCCCAGGGTGTGTTGCGGCAGCCTTGGAAATCTGCTCTGTCTCTATGTGTCTGTGTTCGTGTCTGTCTCTGTCCGTCTCTATCGGTCTCTGTCCGTCTCTATCGGTCTCTGCGCTTCGAAAGTCCACGTTGTATGTGATCATAGAACTCATGAGCTGTGACAGGTCCCGCCTTGAATCCTTGTTTCGTAGAAGAATGGGTCCAAGGTCGTCCTCAGCGGATTCCGAGCAATGCTACGACTGCTACGATCTTTCCCAGAACAAGTGCAGAACGACATGAGCATCTGTTGGAGGAGCCGACCCGGTGGGCGGCTGGGCTCTGCGGAGGAAGGAATCCCAATAAATTACACATGGTGCAACACAGCATCAGCTCCCCCGTTTCTTCTCCAGGGCTGATTGGACAGGGGCCGGTTTTTCTGCATGTTTTTGGACCTCCCTTCCCTTGCCGTGCTGATCTGACGGGGTTTCCGGCAGCTCACCTGAAACGATACCATGGGCACTGTCTTGGGCCTCAAATTTGTATCTGCAATTGCCGACGTTGAGTTTAAGGCAAAATCGTTTATCAGATCAGCCAATTCTCTAGAAGAACTTGCGGCTTGTAGCCCCGAATGACGAAGAAGATTTGATTGAGCTGCACAGCAGATTCATCAACATCAAAGCTCATGAATCTTTGCTTTCCTGTACAGGTCGAAGGCCGCTGCAATCAGAACAACACTTGTTAAATCGGCAAAGGCTGATGTTCCTGAGAAGAGAGCTGGATTTGCTGCTGGTAAGTGGTGCTTGCAATGAAGACTCGTATCAAAATCTCAAGTAGGCAGAAGTCGACTGTCTTGCGAACACATCTGCTGAATATGAAAGCCTCGCTGAAAAGAAGATCCTCTCGTCGATAGTCACCTGCAGATCTGAATATTCAACTGTGCTGAAGATGAACGATCAAATCGATCCGTTGGTAATCGCATTGGCACAATGTGACCTCCAGGTAGAGGATCCGGTCGAAAGGCTGACACAACAGGGCAATTGCTATTAATGGCTTGTCTGTTTAAAGAAAGAGGCAACACTGCGGTGGCTCATTGCGCTTCGCCTTCTCTTCAAGTCAAGCATGACATGAGGTTCATTGTGCCTGTGCTCGTCGCCGTGGCCATGGGCGCCATGCTTGCCAAATCACGTGCTCCTAGATCTGACGGCCGACATCCATTCCACACCCCACATCCAAAGCCCCGAGCCCTAAACTGTAAAGCAATAAACTTTACACCTCGACGCCGAAAAGCTCGAAATCCTTCAGTTTGAAGGCAGACAGATGGCGGAGTCTTCTGCCTGCTGACCACATCCCTCTCAACCTTGATCCAGCTTCCACATCTACGTGCTTCCACTTAGCAACATCGAGCTGTGTAGCATTGTGTTGCTACCTGCTGTGCAGACGGAGAAGCCAGAAGCAGATGATCTACACCAAGCTTGCTGGTTCTTAGTGGTAGGGAATATGGGAAAATATGACATAGGGATCATATAGGGATTATATTCCCGTATTCCCTACTATATAACATCAATATATACCTATTCTACTATAGTCTATAGTTGTATCCATTTTCTTTTACATTATGCCCATATGTACTCCCTACAAAGAACCAATAAGCAAAGCAGGGAAGCCATCTTTTTGCTCGACTCGACTGCGAGCTCCCTCTCTTGAAAAGCACTTTGGGCTAAGGAGTTCTTGGGGGTCTTAGGGGTTGGGGGGGAACATGGGCTATAGTCTAAACTCCTAGTATCCCCCATAATAAGCCTATAATAATACTCTACAATACTCTATAATCAATAAAATAGTCGATAATACTGTACAATACTCTATAATAATACTCCCCTATTCAATCCCGCATATATAACCCCGTTAAAGGAGTTTAGAGCTATAGCTCATGTGAGGGTGATGCATTTCGTGGCATTTCGGCTCACACCCACTTGGGTTTCCCAAGGCGGTTGCGATGAGCCCGGCAGCCACGTGGCAAGAGTGAAACAGCTGATTTCATCTCAGTCGGCGGGTTGAAGGGTTTGTCTCCAGACTCTTAAACCCTATAAACCCTAAACCCTCCAAGTGCCGGAATCTCACAAGAAGGGTCATGTCTCCTAATTCTGAGACATCGTAGATTCCACACATAGGGAGACCCCAACATAGAACCTTAAATACTGCAACTATCTTTAAAAGGATCCCCAAAAGGGCTTCCCCAATTTTGGGCAACCCCCATGAAGCTCTTGAAAGGCTCCAGGGAGCCTCAGGGCGCCGTCACTCCGGATGGACCACGCGCCTGAAGAGGCAGATTGCGTCCATGTCCCCACAAAAAAATAAAAATTCCCAATTCCCAGGCTTAGGCTTGAGGGGTTTAGGGCCTAGGGTTTAGGTTTTAGGGGTTTAGGGTTTGAGTGTTTGGGGTTAAGCCCTGAAACCTACGAACTATGAATCCTGAAGCCCATGCCTGCAGCAACAGCAAAACCCGGCCTCTTCCGGTTCATGGATTCCCCCGCGAAGAGCAAGGCTAAGGCGACCAGCAAGTCCACCTCAGTTGGGGTCTACAGGGTTCCCTCTACTTGGGGGGCCATGGGAACTGATTCATAATGGAAAAGAGAATGGAAACTACTGTATACTGTTTAGGGTCTAGGGGTTAGGGTTTAGGGTCATGGGGACTCAGTAAGAAGGTTAATATGGAGATAACTGGGGTTATTCTATGGCTTATGGGGATTATTAATCTACTAAGCCCCCCCCGACCCCCAAGTACGACCCGAATACACATCACTTGGTGGTTGTGTGAAGCCCTTTTTTAACCAACCAAACGCTGATGGTTAGAACAACCAAACCGGGACCAAGGGAACTCTGATCTAGGGCTTAGGGTTTGGAGCAGTATCGGGATAATAGTTTACTAGTTTCCATGTCATTTTCCATTTGATTTTCCATTATCCCTATATGGTACTTTCCCAAATAGGGGGACCCCAATGTAGACCCCAAAATACTAGAATCCTCAGTATAGGGACCCCCAAAAAGGTACCCCTAATTTTGGGAACTAACCATATAGCCCCTTATAGTACCCTGTACAACTCCGGTGGTTCAGGGTTTAGGGTCCAGGGCTCGATGATGCACACGAGGCCGAGGAGGATAATAGTGATAGCGAGAAGCTGTGGTTTAGGGTTTAAGGTTTATCGCTGTAGGTGTGATAGACGTGGACGGTTATTGCAGTAAAAATCTGTTGTCTTCAGAAGGACCAAAAGCAAATGACACAACAGCACATCATCATCCTTTTGGGCATTGCTCATAGTCAGCTCTGTCAACAGTTCTTCCACACATGCAAAGCATAATCAACATTGAGCCGTACTACATGATCCTTGCAAGGATGTATTGGAATTTCCAAAAATGAGGGATCCCCTTTAAACGGGCTAAAATGGGAATAATTAGGCTTAGAAAGGGAGATATTATGGGGTCTATAGGGTGTAGGATGGCGATCAGGACTCCTAAGAATCGTGCTGCAAATTTCGCTTTAGTCCTCTAAGCCCCAGAAAGATCACCACCCTGCTGAAAGGTAAGGACGTAATGTAGACCCATGATTAGATAAACCCCCTCCCCTTCATAGGGATTATAATAGGGATCCTAATATTAAGGCCTTAAAAGGAGGAGGAGGAGGGGGTTTATTAATCAGAGTCTACAGTACTTCACACAACGGTACTTTGCTGGCTGCAAGCCATGCGTGTGACGATGTCCATGAGCTGACTACACTGCTCCCACCAATATGTGGGGCTCGGGGGCCCAGGCAAGCGCCTTGAGGAAAAGTGGGCGAGGTGTTAGGCTCCGTCATGGAGAGCGCGGAAGGCCTAAACTAAACCCGCAACCATAAACCTGAACACCCGAGACAGAAAATCAGACACGCTAAACTCTAGAATCCACAGCCGCAACTCTAGGACCGAAACGGACATCCAACAGTCTGCAACCCAGAGCACCACACCCAGCTTTCTGATGTCCTGTGCTCCCCACAGAAGCCACAACACAGGAGAACGCCGCTAGGGTGAAGCAGGCGCCCGGACTGGCACAAACTGGAATAATGCATCCCTATACTTGTATATGGTTTAGGGTTCAGGATCACGCTACTTGTAGTCTGTATATGAGCTGTAGTCTAAACTCACTGCAGAGGTTATATAGGGGATTATTTCGGGGAGCGATAATTCTAGGGGTTATGACGGGGGAATCTAGGAGT